GACTTTGGGTTCCCTCATATCAAAGTAGAGCTTTCTCGAAAGGCTTTTGGACCGGGGTCCAGTGCCAGACGCAGAAAGAAGCCGAGAGAGGAAGCCTCCCTCCCGCAGCGCCGAGGGCCCACGACGGCGGACATCAAAACAGTTTGCCAAGTGCCACAAAACATGTTGTTGTTTGTTTGGGCTTCAGCAGACGAACCTGGCTCCTTCCCCTGCTCTGGAATTAATCAAGACCACGTTTGGCCAATTTTCAGTTTTATCTTCAGAAGTCGCGCCTCGTTGACTGAATTTCCAGGGGCTCAACAAATCCCTTCGTGCACTTCCCAGCCTGACGTGCAAGCCCCATCTGTGGCCACTCAGTGGGGTTTATTCCCGAGTATATTTGCCCTGTGCATATTTGCTCCGGAGTCAGTCCCTCCGAATGGGAGGCTTCACCCTCCATTGCGAAGGGGTGCTTGCCTGCCGCGCAAGGGCCACGGGGAGGAGGGGCGGGAAACAGCTGCCCGCCTTGTGGATCGGGGCCTGCCAGACTCGGATCAGGAGTTCAAAGCCACGCAGTAGGCAAGCTAGGCCCCCCACCCCCTGGGCAGCCAAGCCGCCCTTCCCAGCCGGGCGCGTTCCGCGGGGAAACTCTCCTCCGGGAGCCCCGCGGCGAAGAGGGTGGACGGTGCCCAGCGCGCTTGGCAGGGGGAGGTGTGGGCAGAGCTGCGCCAAGCGGAAGGAGGCCGCCCTGGGAGCTCACCTGTTCTGAGGGCCCAGAGGCCGCCGAACTCCCCCCCCCAATGTTGTGTGTTGTACGCTTTACTCCCCCCTCCCCCCCCCCGCGCCGCCGTCTGTGCCTTCCTCCCATCAGCCCGAGCCACCGGGCAGTCGAGGCACAGGAGAGGGAGGCCTGCCGGACCCCACGCAAGGGACCGTCTTTCCGGGCGTGAGGAGGGCCGGGGGCTCCTCGGGGAGCTCGCGGTGGATCCGGCCGCTTGTCTCTCCACCTCCTCCCGAGTCGGGAAGAGACTGTCAGAAGTGTCCCCAGAATAGGATCATATCTCTGGAGCCCGCCCTTTCAAAGCCATGCTCATGAAAAGCTGGGCCAGGAGCAATGTTCCCTCTAAGCTGTGGAGTCTTGTGAGCAAAAAATTCTACTTTGTGAGCCACTGGGATTAAAGTTGTGAGCAAGTGATTTGGCTGCTGCATACATTAGTTTGCTTGGAGCCATCCTTCCTGAGCTAAGGCAAAAATGTGTGAGCCGGAGGCTAAAGAATGGTGAGCTAGCTCACACTAACTCAGCTTAGAGGGAACAGTGGCCAGGAGAGCCCTCCTCAAACTACCGCCACGGGCCCCGGCTGCTCCTCGCCTTAAGCGATCGGAGGGGATCGCAGCCCCGAGCCGATCCATGAGCCAGCTACTCCGGGAGCGTCTAAGCTGAGTTCGTGTGAGCTGGCTCACAGTTTTCTAGCCGCCGGCTCACACACTTTTGTCTAAGCTCAGGAAGGATGGCTCCAGAGCAAACTAATTTATGTGGTAGCCAAATCGCCCGCTCACAACTTTAATGCCAGGTGGAACTTTTGCTCACATGACTCCACAGCTAAGAGGGAGCTTTGGTCCCCCCACCACCACACGAAGTCCGGCCCAATTAGTCCTCCTTCTTATCAATGATTGGAAATTAGGAAGGCTAATAATTTCCCACGCTTCCATTTGGTTCTTTTCGAAATAATTCCAGTCTATAAACGCCAATAATTTGGAGGGGAAAATCTGTTGAGATCAACGGGGCTTCAAGCCCAATAAAGGCCCGTAGGATCCCGGGGCAGGCCGCAAGGACACGAGTTAGCCGGGGAAGTCTCGGAGGCATTCGAGACAAGCGGGGACCTCCGCTGAACAGGAGCGCTCGGAAGGGCCGCTCTAGCCCGGGGGCCCAGCCGATTTCCCTCCGCATTCACCTCCGAGTAAGGCTGCCCTCCTCCAGCGCAAAGACCCGGTTAACTCATTGGAATTCACTTCCGCGTAATTTCGGGTTGCAAGAAGGCTCAGGCACGGCCAAGCTTTTAACATGAAACCAACCATCCCGTAAAGAAGATACAAATCAACCTCCCCCAATTAGACCCGATCTATGCCTTATTAGAAAGTAATGTCCCTATTTTAAAATTCTACACACCTCTCTCTCCCCCCCTCCTATAACCCCGCAAGTGGCCGGACGCCATCCGCCCGACCAGCTCGGCTCAGTAACTCCTCCGGAGAGGTCCCCTGAGCCTTGCCAGATTCCTCTGCCCCTTTGAGTTCAAAGGAACTGACTTCACAGTAAAAAGGACTGGCAGCCAGCTTTGGACTCAAATCCTAAGCATTTGCTTAGAAGTAAACCGCACTGAAATCAACGGGCTTGGCTTTCTACTAAACGTGGTCAAGCACCGACTTGGAAATAAATCCTACTGATTCAATGGAATTGACCGCCGACTTGATTCCACCGATATTTCGAATATAGGTGCTTTAACCTGAGGCACTTCCAGCATAAATACCGTCAACCCACAAATCCATAACATCCACCCAAGAGAAGAGAAGAGAAGAGAAGAGAAGAGAAGAGAAGAGAAGAGAAGAGAAGAGAAGAGAAGAGAAGAGAAGAGAAGAGAAGAGAACCTAATAATGAAAGGCCAAAAAAATAAAATAAAAATCCAAGCCCCTTTTCAGCATCTTAAAAAGTCGCCATAGCCGGCACAGCACCTAAACATGCCACACACGCCAGTTAAAATCTATCCTACAATACTGTTGCTAGCCGTTTTATGTGCCAAAACCGAGGCTCTTTAGCCATTTCAGGAGGAAAAGTCAGTCCAAAATAAACTTGCTCCCTCCCCTGTATTTGAATCAGTGACTGGAAACTCGAAGGAAAATAACACACTATTAAAAGAGAGAAAACATTTTATTGGAGACTATACAAAATTTGAAGATACAACAAAAGTGCTAGGTATGTCTAGAAAAGTTGGTCCCAGAATGCTACAATACCCAAACAACCATCCGTTTACACAGAAAATTAGAAAATCGCTATATTCTCCCCTTCCCCAAATTTTAAACATATTTCTCCCCACAGGGATCGCCAACTTAAAAAAAAAAAAGAAGACGACGCTTAGAAAAGCGGCAACAGCGTCTGGGTCGAAAAATACCAAGATAATCTTTAACACCCTTTGAAAAATAATATTACAATACTGCACTTGGAAAAATAATAGTCTCCATTGTTATTACTATCAATAATAATTTCGGGAAACCGTCTCCTTTTGTCCAAATATAATTTTAGACTTGTATAAAATTACTCTTATCTTGAGAAAACATCTTCTACTTAAAAAAATACATATATACACACATATATTTACCTATTGCTCCCAAACGTAATCTCAAAGGTATTAGGCATTTCAACGATAACATCGGCATGGCTACTGGACACCTTAAAAAAGGGGTGTTCTTGCTCTAATACAGTCCCCATTAAGTACTATTTGGACGGAAAGGCAGTTTTGAAAAACAAGAAGTGCAAATGTCCTCCCAGGAAATCAAATCAGTCTTCTGACGCACAGTGGACCGAAAACAATCCGGAAAAGCCTAGAGCCCTTCAGTTTATTTCCGCATCAACTGTTCTTAGAATATATTTTATAGCAATGCTTGGAGACTAAAGCCAGACAAGTTTTCAAGACCAAGCGCTTCCATTTGAAATATTCGCACCCGGATCTAAACTTATATTGAACACAAACTCCTTGGAGCGGAGGCGGCAGCCCCTCTACTGAGCCTGGGCATGAAACTGACAAGAAGCCGCCCTTCTTTGTCCCCCTATAAATTCATTGTGTGGGAACTGAATTTCCACCCGTGTTACTTGGAATTTGTCTCCACAAAAGTGTGCTTAGCTGCGCAGTCCTAGGGACACTTTTGGGTGGGGAGTAAGCCCCTTGACTTGAATAGGATTCTAAGAAGGCCTGCTTAGGATCGTTCTGTCAAATATCTTCATTACTTAGAGAAAATTCCACTGAAATGAGTGAGTCTTACCCTTTTGGTTTCACTTGGTGTGTTGTGTTCAAGATATTAGATGCAATCCTGGCTGAGACATGTCAGTGGTTGTCAAAGTGCTCAGGCTTGCTTGCTTAAACCCTCTTGAACTCAAGCGGACCTTAATACTGGACAATCCGACCAAATGTCTTGATTTGGCGGGCAATTTTTAATGGGACTTCGTTCAAAGCAAACATTTCTGGGCTTTTCAGGATTGGTCCCCTTCATTGCGGTACTTTCGGTAGTCCAGACTTCGGATCACAGTACTGACCCGTCCTGTTTACCTCTGTATCAACAGCCATCGGTACAGATATAAACGTGACTAATCAATACGAGTGATCTAAGAAACCAAGGCAGCAGTCCCAAGCACACTTGCTAGGGAGTAAGCTCAGCTGAACTCCAAAGGACTTACTTCTGAAGAAATATGATCGGGACTGCACTGCACAGCACTCGAGATACATCCCTTACTCAAGCTGATCATCCGGTTCTTACAGAACTGGAGTTTTCCCTCCAATTCTTGTGAGACTCCTCGTCTCCTCCTCTTACATTCACAGAATGGAAAGAAGAATGCGTGTGAAATGCATGAGGCCGCCGGAATCCGGGCCTTAAGCACGTCAGGTAAAAAGCAAACCCCGCCGCCACCTTGACTTCGGCATTCATGTCAAGAAACGATCAGGGATCTAGGTTCTGTGCGTGCGTTTTGCCTGATGCCAACCGAAATGTCTGCGCTGTCTACAACCAGAAAAGCGAAGTTGCTACAGGAAAAGGTGAAAGGGGGGAGGATGAGGAAAAGTTCTCCGCACTTACGCTGCCTTCAGGCACCCCTGGAGCAGAGTTTTAGCCATCTAGTACTTGTATAGAGACAGAGAGAGCGATCTGGCCAGGGTTTCTCTCTGTCCGTTTTTGGCACGGACAGCCGCTTTGCCGCCCGGCGGGTGAGCGGGAGAGGCCATCGGCGGCGGCGGCAGGGCAGTCCGCGGGCCGGCTCCTCAGAGGTCTATGCGGGCGTGGAGGGCGCCGTGCTTGCTGTCGTGGTCCCAGTAGGAGCAGTGCATCATGGCCAGCTCGGGCGGCTGGCGGGCGCAGGCGAACTGCAGGCCGGCCGCCCCGTTGGGCGCCGCCTGGGGCGCGGGGCTGCCGGCGGAGGCGGCG